TTTTAAAAGCTGAAAATTCGCGTGACAAAAATAATAGAGAACAAGTTTTGCCAATTCGAAAAAGGCCAACACCAAATTCAAACAGTGAGAAACAATTAAGGTTTCGAAGTACTAAGAAGAAGAGGGTATCGTTATCAAGATGGGCTAAGCCTACTGCAGAGGAGGAGAAGAGAGCAAAGGAGAATATGTTAATGACGTCAAATTCGATTGAAGTTTGCGATGTATGTCTTAAAGTAGACGATCAAAATCAAGAGGATGTAGTTGAGTGGATAGAATGTGAAAAATGTAATTTATGGGTGCATGTAGCTTGTTCACATGACAATGTGTGTGTGCATTGTATGAAGATCAGAGTCTAACATTAAACCTCCATTTTTGTTACCAATACTGTCTTTATAGCTCTGTCTCTCTCACTCACATCAATTATGAGTTATAACATTAATTGTTTTGCTTGCACTGTATTAATTATCAGTTGTAACATTAATTTTTTGCTTGCACTGTATTTTAGCCTAGATAGTAATAACTATTGTGTAAAATTATAACTATAGTAAAGCACAGAGTCAATAATTGGACTCTAAAAAAGTATTATATGTTATGGTTGTGGATAAATGTCTTCACTTGTATGACTTGTCTTGATAAACATGATCATTGTAAAGAAAAATTATCTTGATTTACTGGCAGCCATAATCCACGTGCTAAAACGTGAGAGGGTGTGGTTAAAAATGGTCACACCCTAAACTACAAAGATATGCGGACTTTTACTAATGGCTAACGTACTGCAATTAATGGCTAGTTACTGACTTTCTGCCCCGCCATCTTTGAGGAATGCTATTACTAGAAGCAATGTAGAACATTAAGGGGCGAGCCTAAGCTAGCAAAGCAATTATGGCACTGGATCTATCCATCTATAATCTATTCCCGATGATTTCAAAGCATGCATCATGATTTAGGCATAGCAAACATGATCATTTACATGATGAAAGTTTAATGCTGCTGATAAAATTAATAAACTTTTAGTCTTCTAGTTTCACATACACATTTCTTGCCTATAAATGTCTGTAAAGATACTTTACTTAGCTTTAGATATAACATTATCCAATATTAAGATGACTGAGAAAAAGCTTGATTGACTTTCACAGTTTTAATAGCAATTGCATCAGTAAAAACGAGCTTCATAGGTTATTAATTGAATTTAAAACCTTCTATAGCTGCTGGGGAAGTCTTTGGACGGTATCTGCCTTATATTGCTGCTAGAAAGCTCATGAATTCTTCCAGTGTGTTGGTTGCCATTTTTATTTTATTGTGACCGCTCCCACTTTCAACGAAAAATTGAAAATTGCATTGGTAATGCATAGTATCTATCTACCGTATTAGATCTACGCATAAATAGGGGTGACGTACGAGGACAGACATACAGACAGACAGACAGAGGGACAGACGGGGCGTGACTGAGAGTATAGCTAGAGTGGGGCGAGCTCAGGCTCGCCCCAACGAGCTCAGGCTCGCCCCAACTAGAAGTAATGTAGAACATTAAGGGGCGAGCCTAAGCTAGCAAAGCAATCATAGCACTGGATCTATCCATCTATGATCTACTCCTGATGATTTCAAAGCATGCATCCAGGGCCGTAGCCAGGAACTTGAAATAGGGGGTTCGGAAATTGCTGCGCGCGAAGCGCGCAGCAAAAAAATTTTTGACGAAAATGGGCGTGGTTGGTAGGCGTGGTATCAATTTACTCATCTCAGCCATGTGCTGACTCAGCTAAAATGGCTATCTGTGCTTCTCGCTGTTGCCAAAATGCTAATCCTGCTTTTGCAGTGCTGTTCTTCATGACAGGAGCTAATCTAAAACTTTTTTGCAGCTACAACAGGGGGTTCGTCCGAACCCCCCGAACCCCGCTGACTACGGGCCTGGCATCGTGATTTAGTATGCATGCTTGCTATGCAGCAAGCATGCGGCATGTACATGATGAAAGC